GAATAGATGAAAAATAAAAATAATTAATTTTTTTGTGCTTGGTAAAATGAAAAAAATATACTTATAAATTTTAAATTTATTATTTTTAGTTTTAATTTTAAAAAAAAAATTATAAATGTATATTTTATCATTGTATTTCTATATAAAATTAATGTATTCATAATATATCTATATATCAAAGAAAATATATATATATCAAATGATATATAAACAAATAAGATATATTTTAACACAAATAATTAACCAATAATCATATGTTAACCAAATTTTGGAACCAAATTAAAAGTTCAAATGACATAGTAGCATATTATTTAGAGTCTTTATTGGGACGCAAAAGACATGACACAATATAAAGAAACTCAAGTCAACTGTCATATCATTTGGACTCTTAATTTTGTCAACGTAACATTACTGATAAATAACTTTCTATCCACTTTTCTTCTAATTTTGGAGGGATTATTTTGGTGAGTTAAAAGGAAAACTTATCCATCACCTTTTCCATCAATCTTTACCAAACATAATGTTTTATATATTTCTCTAACTTTTCATCATTCTATTTTTCTATCATACCGAACGGAACATTAGTTTATTTTTTTTGTTCAATTGTCAAGAGTAATTAGGTCAACTTACATGCACTTCAACTAATGTTGTTTTGATTCGATTAAAGACAAATCATCTACGGCGAAATTAAAGTATTAATGAGGAATAAATCTTTTATAGTTGACCCCAAGTAATTTTAATTTTATCAGCACAACTTCGATAAAAAAAATATTTTACTACTATACTTTTCTTTTCCAATCAAATCATGACATGTATACATACATCATAATTTAAATACCATTTAATTTATCGGATTGAATTTACATGTATCAAAATTCAAGTCTCGAATTTGGATAAATCTATATATATATACTATTAATGCATAGGAAAAATTTGTAAATTTCTATTTTACCCTTATGAATAATTTTAAATACTATTTTATCTTTTCACAATTAAATATCTAAATTATCATCATATTTTAATGTATTTAAATCTCTAAATTATATGTAATATCATATTTAAACTACTAATAAAACATGAAATTTTTTTGAACCTCTATTTTACTTTTACAAAGAATTGCAAAGAGCATTCTATCATTTGACAATTAAATATCAAAATTTTAATCTTCTTATGTATTTAAATATTTAAATTATCACTAACAATTTTTTTAATTATCTATTTTTTATATATTAATATTAATTTTTATAACAATTTTTGATTAACAATATTACCCTTAAAAATATGCATCATTATAATATTAATAAAATGTTTAAAAAAACCTTTAAAAATTCTATCAATTTAATATTTTTCATCTCTTAAGGAAAGATAATATTATGCCTATATATTTATATTTTTTTTCATCAAAAATTTTAATCCTTTCATTTCTAAGATATATTTACATCAATAAAATTATTCAGTCACAATAAATTTTCTAAGTTGTATTAAAATTTTATGAGAAAATAAATACTGTAGTGTATTTTTAAGTAAATTTTGAATTTTTAAGAATTTTAATATTTTAGAATTTAATTTTTTTTGAATTTTTAAGTAAATTTTGAAATTTTTAGATTTTTTAGAATAATATATTAAATCTTATTTCAATTAACCTAACCAATTCTTAATTACAGTAAGGTTATAATATAATTAGTATATTGAAAATTACTTTTATTTTATTTAAGGAATTATAAATGAAATCTTAATAAAAAAAATTAAAAAATTTAATTTCCCAAACAAAACTATTTTTTAGTTTTTTTATTTTTTTTTCTTATAGTCAGAACAAAAATTTTTGAGAACATATAAAATTTTTATAATCTTATAATATATTAGTGGTGAAAAAATAAATTTAGTAAACTGTAGATGATATTTTANTTACAAAGAATTGCAAAGAGCATTCTATCATTTGACAATTAAATATCAAAATTATAATCTTCTTATGTATTTAAATATTTAAATTATCACTAACAATTTTTTTAATTATCTATTTTTTATATATTAATATTAATTTTTATAACAATTTTTGATTAACAATATTACCCTTAAAAATATGCATCATTATAATATTAATAAAATGTTTAAAAAAACCTTTAAAAATTCTATCAATTTAATATTTTTCATCTCTTAAGGAAAGATAATATTATGCCTATATATTTATATTTTTTTTCATCAAAAATTTTAATCCTTTCATTTCTAAGATATATTTACATCAATAAAATTATTCAGTCACAATAAATTTTCTAAGTTGTATTAAAATTTTATGAGAAAATAAATACTGTAGTGTATTTTTAAGTAAAATTTGAATTTTTAAGAATTTTAATATTTTAGAATTTAATTTTTTTTGAATTTTTAAGTAAATTTTGAAATTTTTAGATTTTTTAGAATAATATATTAAATCTTATTTCAATTAACCTAACCAATTCTTAATTACAGTAAGGTTATAATATAATTAGTATATTGAAAATTACTTTTATTTTATTTAAGGAATTATAAATGAAATCTTAATAAAAAAAATTAAAAAATTTAATTTCCCAAACAAAACTATTTTTTAGTTTTTTTATTTTTTTTTCTTATAGTCAGAACAAAAATTTTTGAGAACATATAAAATTTTTATAATCTTATAATATATTAGTGGTGAAAAAATAAATTTAGTAAACTGTAGATGATATTTTATTTAAATACACATATAGTTAATATATTTTATTAATTTTTACATAGAAAAATTATTTATGTACAACACAAGTGATACATTATTAATAACTTAAAATACGAATTTATATCTAATTAAATGAATCCGAATTCAGATTTAATTCAAATTAAAATCTGCTCCATCACTTACTTTCAACTGATGAAGGCCCAGAACGTGACTGCATTGTCCAATTCTGCTCTTGATAAGGTGGCGTGACTGTGGGACCCAAAGTTGTGATGGTATCGTGAAGTTCACTGTCTGAACCAATCACAGCCGTCCATTCTTGATTTTTGATAGTGTTCCAAGCGCAACTGTGTAGCCGTAAATGAGGGNTCACAGCCGTCCATTCTTGATTTTTGATAGTGTTCCAAGAGCAACTGTGTAGCCGTAAATGAGCGTTGACAAGGTAGAGCCAGCCTACTGCAACATATGATCGATCCTAGCCGTTCGATAAGGATTTCACAATCGAAGCCGTGAAATAATTGAGAGGCGAGTACGTGGGCCACGACTTTGACGGCTTGGTTCAGGCTTGAACGCATGACCGGCAATGGAATGGTATGTGCGTGTAATGGGTTGTCGCTTGTCGCTTGGTGTTATTTTGTCAGAAAACATAATTATTAATCTATACATGATCTATTTTTAAATTAATTTTAAGAATAATTTAAATAATAATAAATACGAATTTTAAATTTAAATGTTATAAATTTAAATTTCGACAATTTTTCATAGATAATTTATTTTTGATCGAACCAAAAAAATAAATACTTATATTACACTTGTATCTAACAGTTTAAATTTTTAGAATATATGATTGTTTAACACTCAATTACGGTAGCAACTCGACTATATTCAAAGGCTCACATATTAATTTTTATCGACTTTATTAATGATTAAAAGATTTTATATCAATAATGATCAGTTTTGATTATTTTTTTGANTAATTTTTATCGACTTTATTAATGATTAAAAGATTTTATATCAATAATGATCAGTTTTGATTATTTTTTTGAATTCGTTCGTGCTTCAATATTCAATTTTCTTAGAAAAACTAATATTACTTACATTATATCATACTAAAATTACTTAGAATATTTCATGTAACTTATTTTGCTAATTTAACCCATCATTATTGCTAATGTAATAGTAAATTTCCAAATTTAATGTGATCAATTAGCAATCTAATGAAAGTCACATTGAATTAATATTAAATGATTTGATCCAATCGTAGAAGAATCATTCCTCCTTTGGCGGGTACAGTCAACAGTCAATATAAGCTAAATGAGAGCATGCAGCTGAGTCGGGACTCACGTGGCTTTACTGGAATTTATGGCAGCTTACCTTAATGTCACATGTTTACCCAATGTACAAAGAAGTCCACCTTTTACCATGGTTAAGAACCGATGAGATGAGAGAGAGGAGGTCTAATATTGGAACATATATTATCAACATAATAAGTTGTCATTAATAATATAATATTGAATTTATTTAATATTATAATGAAATTAATCATTAAATATATTTTAATATTATTTTATTAGTAATAATATATTATATCTTTAAATTATGTTCATAAATAATACCTAAATAATATTAATCTTTTTAATATGATTGAAAATTGTTGAGAGAGAGAGAAGGGGGGACAAGGGACACCATGAGTTAGGTAATAATAAATATAGGGGAGGCAAAAGCCNGAACATAATAAGTTGTCATTAATAATATAATATTAAATTTATTTAATATTATAATGAAATTAATCATTAAATATATTTTAATATTATTTTATTAGTAATAATTTATTATATCTTTAAATTATGTTCATAAATAATACCTAAATAATATTAATTTTTTTAATATGATTGAAAATTGTTGAGAGAGAGAGAAGGGGGGGACAAGGGACACCATGAGTTAGGTAATAATAAATATAGGGGAGGCAAAAGCCATGATTGAGTTAATTGGTACTTCCTGACACACCATGTCATGATTGAACTTGCACCACCACTCCCTTCTCTTCTTTCTATATAATCCCCATTACTCCCTCCCACCCTCTATTATGAAACATTGCAAACCCTATCCTTTTCTCTCTCCAGACTCCTCTCTCTCTCTCTCTCTGTGGAAAACCACAACCCCATCACTAACCTTAGCAGCACTGTTTGCTTTCAACTTGTTGAGTCGAATTTCATATATTATAAGAAGGTAGANCTCTGTGGAAAACCACAACCCCAGCACTAACCTTAGCAGCACTGTTTGCTTTCAACTTGTTGAGTCGAATTTCATATATTANGTGGAAAACCACAACCCCATCACTAACCTTAGCAGCACTGTTTGCTTTCAACTTGTTGAGTCGAATTTCATATATTATAAGAAGGTAGATATCAAGGCAAGAGTTTGTGAAAGATGATGGTTGAGAAAGAAGACTTGGGTTTGAGTTTGAGCTTGAGATTTCCAGAGATTCGGAATAGTTCACTACAGTTGAATCTTATGCCCTCCTTGGTTTCATCATCTTCCCCATCTCCATCTCCTTCACCGTTCAATCTCTTTCACAAAACTTCTTGGAACGAGTCCTTCCCTTCCTCAGGTTTGTTTGTGGTCTCTGTATGTATCTTCGTTTTTCACTTCTGTTTCTGTGAAAAGCTTCAGATCTGGATTAGCTTCTTGCCGATTTTTCTCTGATAAAAAGCGATTTTTTGAGTCCTTTTTCCTCTCTCTCTCTCTCTCTCTCTCTACACACACAAACACGAAGATTTATATATAAATAGTTCATGAACCTCCGTTTACACAAAGTAATGCTCATTGATGGCGACTTTGAGCTCTCTTTTTGCATCCGTCGATGGATCTAAACTTTACAAAAGTAATTCAACTCTTTGAATCCTAAAAAACCCAGAAAATGTTCAAGATTTTCTTTATAGTTGATCGGATCTGCTACAGAAACTCATACAATCATCCTTCAAATAATCGTGATTTAAAATCACACCAATAATCTCTGATTTTATTAAGAGCTTAATCATATATTTTTTTTCTGATTTTCCCTTTAATTTGTTTCCTCACGTGCAGATAGAAACTCGGAGACATGCAGAGGGGAGACCAGATCATTCCTCAAGGTGATCGACGTGAACCGTTTACCTTCTACGGCCGATGCCGAGGACGAAGCCGGCGTTTCTTCTCCGAACAGCACGATATCGAGCTCTAGTGGGAAGAGGAGTGAGAGAGAGTGCAACGGCGACGATCACGAGATCGAGAGAGCTTCCTCTCGAGGTATCAGCGATGAAGAAGACGGCGATGCGTCGAGAAAGAAGCTCCGGCTGTCCAAAGACCAGTCGGTGGTACTCGAAGAGAGCTTCAAAGAACACAACACTCTCAACCCTGTAAGTATACTAGGTTCAGTAGCAGTACTAAGCTTTGAAGGTGAAGGGTGTTTTGGTAATTTAGCTGACAAGTTGGGGTTTTTTTTTTGGGTTACAGAAGCAAAAGTTGGCTTTAGCGAAGAGACTGGGACTCAGGCCTCGTCAGGTGGAGGTGTGGTTTCAGAACAGGAGGGCAAGGTGAGATATGTTCAAGGGTATTTTCGGTATAAAATTTTTTATTTCCACTTAATTTGATGATTTTTTTTGGTTGATTTAATGCATCATTTGAGGTTAGCAGATGAACAGTTTAATGTATAAACTTTCACTTTTAGTCCCTTTTTTTTTTTTGTGTCACTATTTTAGGGAGGAGAGCATGGGGTATGAACGCGTGATTTTAAAGTTTAAACGCGGGTGGACTATTAGGCTAACCACTAACTTCGATTTTAGTTATTGAATTTTTAATTTTTGTCCCCTCCTTTTAGTTTTAGGATATCATTTTTAGCACTTGACAATGGTTTCGGCCTAAGGTAAATGTTTAGAGTTCGGATCTTGACAGTTTTTTTAAGATTACGTAATGATAGATTTATCGTCATTAATACTTTAGTCCCAACATGAATGATTTGTATTTGATCAGACAAAAAAAAAATTAATCAATGTGCACGTAAGGTAATTCGGGACACTCCTGATCATTGAACTAATAAAAAGATTGTTTCGGCCATGCATTAACATTTGTCGTTACTATTTCATTTGGTGTTATTGAGACTAGCTATGAAACAAACCAAGGTATCCCAACCTCTATTAACATAAGTTTGAATGGTAAGATTTGAGTGTTATTGCACGTGATTTATATATAGTTAGTAACATTCTTAATTTTTGTATCAATGCATGGTGCCTTGTTATTGAGCAAAAGATCATATTAGTTCTATGATCTATAATGAAATGAGGATATTCTAAGTGGTTTAGGTAGCTCTCTTGAAAATACGTGGGAGGTTAGTCCATCGAGATCTTAAGTTGAAGTGTTATAAGAGAAAGTGATTGTATTTATCACGAGTTTGCATAATTTGTTTCGGGGCCACTAATAAGAAAGAGGCATCGTTTAGTGGCTCTCGGATGAAGGTAATGTAATGTAATGTTGAAATAATGTAAGTCGTTTAGTGGCTCTCGTTTAGGGGCCACTAATAAGAAATGATGTAATGTTGCCTTATTAAAGCCAGCTCGTTATGGTAGTTGAAACGGACAACTTGCGTCCGACCCAAGTGCTAATAATGGACTACTTTGCTACTATGCTACTTACTGTAATAAATGCAAACCAAACTCTATGAAATTATACTTTTGCCCTTCTGAATGAGCTCAATTAACGAGGTGGTTCAAATTTTTTGGGTACAGGACGAAGTTGAAGCAAACGGAGGTTGACTGTGAGTTGTTGAAGAGGTGCTGTGAGAATCTGACGGAGGAGAACAGGAGGTTACAGAAGGAAGTGCAGGAGCTGAGGGCACTCAAATTGTCCCCACAGTTCTACATGCAGATGACCCCTCCCACCACCCTCACGATGTGCCCTTCATGTGAGCGTGTCGCCGTCCCATCATCGGCTCCTCCTCCTCCGACAACGACAACGACAACGACAACGGTCCATCCTCGGTCCCGGCAAATGGGTCCCATCCATCCTCGGTCCGTTCCCTTCAATCCATGGGCCACCACAGCCTTTCCATTCGATGCTCTTCATCGTCGATCATCGTAATAAGTCATCAATGAAAGGTTAAACTAGTCATTTCAGATACTTAAATTGTGTAAGGAGGCAANTCCTCGGTCCGTTCCCTTCAATCCATGGGCCACCACAGCCTTTCCATTCGATGCTCTTCATCGTCGATCATCGTAATAAGTCATCAATGAAAGGTTAAACTAGTCATTTCAGATACTTAAATTGTGTAAGGAGGCAATGAAAATTGTAATAGGGTACCATATATATGTGTGTATATGTACCTATGGGATCTGAGATATGGTGGTTGGAATATGATATGGCTGGTCTCTATTGTTTTGTTGACCCAGTTTCTGAATGGACTATTATTATTAGTCTGTTTGTAGTACTAATTCCTCTTCCCATTCTTGGACCTTCGGGAGGTAGGGAAGAGACCTACGGGATGTAAATTGTCATCTAATTATTTTATTAACTAGTTAAGGTTGTCTCTAATATTCTTATTAAAAACTACATCAGTTATAGTTTGGAAGAAATGGCCTAAATATAGTTCAAAACTTGTATGATGACTCAATCTAAGATTGAAAAGAATACATTGCATATCAAGTGAATGNATAGTTCAAAACTTGTATGATGACTCAATCTAAGATTGAAAAGAATACATTGCATTTCAAGTGAATGCCAAACAAAAAATGAATGAGGGGAAGAATCGACAGGAACAAGGCTATCAAATTGTCGACTGTGATATTTATCGGGGTTATAAATTCGTTTACTTTAACAGTGTCTGTCACATGAAGCAGCCCAACCAGTTTTGCAAGAAGTAGAAAAGTCACATGAAGAAGCTCAACCAACCTTACAGAAGTACATACTTTTCCACCAGAAATCTATTACAAATCTAGCAAGTTAAATGTAGTCAATTTTATTTTTCAGGTCGAGATGTAACGAATTTAACCAATACCCTTTAGTCAAACTGATTGGCTCTTCTTTCCCCAATATTTTCTTGCACATGTTTCACGACTTACTGTGGAAAATTGGGTTACATTGTCCCTATTGTATTACTTTTTGGGTAATACTAACGATGCATAAAATATGTTTATACACCACTTGTCAAATATTTAATAAAATAATTAAGAAGGAAATTTTACACAAGCAAATACAAATTAAGTAGTTTGATCTGAGTGACTTACTCTACTATGAAGGGTTATAGTGACTTGAGTATTTTATTGCTCAGGGAGTGTAAAATACTCAAATGTGAGTAATGCCTCTCTTGTGTATGCAAGGATTACAATTTATTCGTTTTTTTTTTAACAAATTGAGGTGTCATTCTCGTAACAGATAAGACAGTTCGATGGAGATAGCGTCATTTTCGTAATAGGTGAGATAGTTCTGTGGAGATCGGACATGCACCCAATGATTGCATCCCATAAAGAAGATCTCTTAGTGTGTCAGTTGTGAACTGAGTCTCTTAAGACGGTAAGACTGACCTGACTGAGCTTCTTGATCCAATGGTGGGCTTGAGCTGTATATTTGAGTTAGGTCTGGTCTGCATTTCTAAATTGAGCCTGTGAGTTAGGCTTGATCTGGACCGGACCATCAAATATTATTAGGACTTAGAAAAAACTTGATTTGTTGACTCAATGATGTGTCGAGTGATAGAAAAAGTTTAACAATAATCATCACAATAATTTTATTATACCACATTATTATCTCAACAAATTAAACCAACTTTTTAGGGCTATATAGTATTAGTCTTACTTTATGGTTCTGTGCGTGCTGGACCTTGCATAATATAAACACGAGAACAGATCTCTCCCTTGGTGAACTCGAATGAGTCAATCGAGTGGTCAACCCCGCTGCTTGGAACAGCCCGTGAGGTCCGGTGGTAACCTGGAACGGTAATGGGAGACCCTCATGGATCAATAGAACGATCCAGTAAGGCTGAAGAAGGTTCCTGGAACAAAGAAGAACAAGTTAGAAGGGCACCGAAGTGTTTTCTGGCGTATCCCCTCCGACGATCAAGTCAGTATTTGAGAGAGGGGGAAAGGAGAAAACACCGAGTAGGTATTGTACCAAAGGTTTTTTGTTGCATACCGTCTTGCCTTTTTGCGAGGAGTATTTATACCTCAAAAACTCATGATTGCTGTCAGTGCAGTCAGTAGGTGATCATTAGGTACATGCAATGTGCGCACTGATTCCGATGAGGAATGTCTTCTCTTTAACTGCTCGGGATCCCGAGCAATCAATGTTGTGTCATCGAGCTGCCGACTGTTCAATGAGCTCCTCTCGGGAAGGATGCAATAAATGTCCAGCTTTAGAGACATTTATTGCCTTTCACTTCCGAGCCTTACCGCATTAAATGTAGTCTCATCAAGGGAATGGTGTAATTAAATGCTTGCTTTCCCAAGTTGTGTGTCAGCAAGGGCATGCGGTCTTTCTGTCTCTGATGTGACGCAATATGTCACGCGTCCATTCCCCATTGACTGTGGCCCCTGCCTTTCTGATACCAATTGTGTAAGACGAGGTCATGATAGCTAACCTAGCCTGGCCTAGGCTAGTGACCTGTACATCAATAGCCTCTGCAGGAGCAGAGAACGCACCCTGGACAGAGGTACATCTCAAACCCGAGGGGAGGTGCACATAGCGACCGATGTACCCATATCAGACCGAGGGATACGTGTAGGTTCGTAAACGTACTAGATGCCACTTGATCCCTATGACAAAGTACCTCGGGGGAGAGGGACTTGTGTATCAATGGGTACGTGATTTCAGTAACAGGATTTAGTGACACCGAAGACACGTGTCTTCATCTTGGAGTATTTCGGAAATGTCCCATCAACTGCCCCCCCAACCTTCGATCTTCTGACTTCGAGAACACGCGTCGTAAGGAGACGAAGGATTTTACAACAACCCCAACTGCTTCATTATTGCGTTTAGCCGTTTTCCCCTGCTTAGGACGTCGTGCTCATTAAATGCGCTTTTTCGTGATTCGCGCCCAATGATGGGATTGGTACTATATATAAATGGGTTTCCTCTCCTCTTTTCTCATTTCGTCATTCTGAACTTTCTCAAGAGAGCCCTCGCCTGAGTCTTCGCCGGAGATCTCTTTCCTTCCGTTGTCAACTGCCCAACCTTTTCACTGAAGTCTTAAGGCCAGCAGACCCATCGTTGCTTCTGTACATTCTGGAAGGTGTCGCCTCAAGTTTCCCAGAAAAAACTCTATTTTACATTCTAGTCTCTTCGTCCTTCTGTCCCTTTTGGTTTTTCGATAACTGGAGGTGTCTCTGGTTGCCACTTAGCGACCAATTCTCGGAAAACTTCCTTGGGGATCTTTGAGGGTAAAACACTCTAATTCACTTTTTCTCACTTTTTTCGAGATGCCTCGTCGTTGCCCTACCCCCGAGAATCCTCAGGCTAGTTCTTCGGGGTCAGGGAAGTATAAAGTAAAGGGTGGTGAGCAAATTAATAGGTTTAGGGTCAAGTACAGCATCCCCCCGTACGTAGACATAGAGGATTATAACCCGGCTGTGCACTCTCGTACCTTCGGGGCCGAGGATGCGATGCCCTTTTATATCAAAGCCATCATAGAGGGCGGAATTAAGTTCCCTTTGTCCCCTCTACTTCTCCAGTTCCTTTCCCATTTCCACCTCTTTCCCGGGCAGTGTTGCCTTAATATCTTCAGGATAATTATGGGGGTCCTAGAGCTCAATAGGCGTCTCGGGATAAATGTTGGGCTAAACGATCTCCTTTTTTGCTACTCTCTCTTGAGAGTCATACCTCAACAACACTTCTACCTCAAAGCCAGAGACCCATCTATGTACCTCGTAACTCATCTTCCCGACTCGAACAATGGGTACAAGGACAACCTACTTATCTTCAAGGGATCTTGGCAGAGAGGTGTCGGTCCCGAGTATAACGGCTTGTTATGCCCTTTGGAATGGAGAACGACAAGTACGTCGGTTCCTTCGGGTCTATTATTTTGTTCTTGAGATTTGCTGTGTTCATGACTCTTTTTTGTTTGTGTGCAGATGTTCCTGCTCGGAAAACAGCTCCTCCCCCTCGGTTGTTGGTGAACTTTGCTGACCTAGTCACTGTCTGGAGATTTACTGGTGACGACGGTTTTGGCCGGGCTGCCCACGTCCTCCTGAATTACACTCCCGAATATAAAAAGTTTTCACAGCTTCCCCAGCCTTTCGAGCCTTCGCGGTGGTCTAAAATTTTCAATCAGGCGGTGAGACAAGAGGTCGAGGAGAACTTGGAAAAAGACCCTGACCGGGCTTCGGAGGCAGAAGTAGAGGGTGAAGTTGAAGAGCTCGGGGTCAGAGAGGACTTGGTTCCTTCGTACGCCGAGATGGGGACTTCGGGGAGAGATTCGTGGCCGAACTTCCAAATCCTACAATCTCTAGACATTGAGGACACCCTCGAGGTAGCTATGTCCAGCACGTTCCGTATTGATCTAGGGTTCCTAAGGCAGAGGCAAGCCCTCGCTGCCGGGAGGGGAAGAGGATCGACCGGTGGGGCCCCATCTGCAGGGACCAGCGCCACCCCATCCTCAAGAGTCGTCAGTCGAGGGCAAGTGCGTGACCGGAATCCCCAGGTAGAGGAGGAGAGAAGGGTCAAACATAGGCACGACGGCCTTGGGTTACCTCCCGCTCCTCAGCAACAACAACAACAGCAGCAACAACAGCAACAACAGCAAAAGCGGCAACAGCAGACTCCTTCTCCCCTTCCGCAGGCAGTGGAAACTGCGGAGTGGAATCCTCGAGCCACTAATCACATGAACCGAGTGATCAGGGTCGACGACTCTATTTTGCAGGACCCCCATGTCGCCAATGCAGTGAGTGAGACGCTGCATTTCGAGGCCGACATGATGGCTCACAGGGGGCGATCAACGAACGTGTTATTTCGTTCTATCATCCAGAATTCTCTGGTGGTAAGTTCATCTTTGCTTCAGTCTTTTTAGCCACTTTTATTTTTAGTGACATGCCCTTCCCTTTGCAGGCCTCCCAACAGATTTCTATAAAATAGCGGCACGGTGTCATGGGGCTAGGATGGACCTCCAGCGGATTCGAGAGCAGAAGGAAGAAGCGGAGGGAGCCCTCGCCAGTATTAAGGAGGACGTAGCTGCCAGGGATTCCACCCTCGCGGGGCAGGCTGCTCAAATCGAGCAACTCCTCAAGGATGCCGAGTTGGCGAAGGTCGGAGCTGAAAAGCTAAGTGCTGCCCTTGCCGACGCTGAGAGAAGGATTATAGAGCAGACGCACTGGCTCTCTGCGGCGGAGGAAAGGGCTGTTGGTTCAGAGGAAAGCTGTTTGGCTCTGACCCAGGAGCTGGACAGGATCAGGGCTGAGGCACAGAACCGAAAGTCCGAGGAGCAACTCCGAGAAGAGTTCGCCGATGACGTGCTCCCCGTTCTTAAGGAAAATAGCAAGGAGTTCTTCAAGAAGGGGTGGGACGAGGCG